CCCGCCTCTATGATGAAGTTCAAGCCGAACCAGACGCGGACGTACGACCGCGAGGGCTTTAAGAAGCGGGCGGCGTGCCTGTGCTTCCGGAGCGAGCGGGAGGACGAGGTGAGGGCGACCGGCGCGCGCCGGGCGGGGCGGGCTCTGCGCCCCCGCGGTCGGTCGGGCTGCTGAGCTGTGAGGGATTAGCTCCCCTTCCTTCCCTTCTCTCCCCCGCGCCTCCCTTCCTTTCTCCGGGTGGATCGAGGGCAGACAAAGGCGCTCGCCCAGTCGCCTCCATCTCGGAGGGCGGGGGGCCCAGACGCCCTCCGGCCCCTCTGGGTCCCGGGCGGTGGAGGCTGCGCCCCGGGGAGTCGTCGTCTCGCACGTGAATGGGGCGTGGAGCCGGATCAAGCCGGAGAGCTAACCGAGAGGGGGTGGAAATGGCGTGAGCGTGGTAGCCCTAGCCCTTGGCCTCGGCTAGTTTCCCTTCCTTGTTACAGCAATTTGCGGTTGTGGATTAAACAGCAGCGTAGTCCGCGTGCTTTGAAATAAAAACCCACTCAGACGGGTTTGGGCAGTTGCACATTTAGCTGGACCCATTAGCTCAAAAGCACTTGACACAAAGATCCTTAATAAGGAAACGACTCCCTTGTTTAAAGTCTTCCCACTGTAGAAAGATGGCTAGTGGAAAATGTAGAATAGCGGGCAAAGGTGGAGTAAAAAGTTGTTTTCACACAGTAATTTCAAGGTTTCTTACTTTGCTGATTGGCTCAGCCCCTGGGAAGGGGCAACCTGTATCCTGTCTGGTTCCAAGAGCAAGCAGTCTAGCCTCTCATTTAGCTGCCACTGTTGGGTTAATCGTGAGTTCCTGGGGGGTTGCCAGGAGAGCAGTTTTTACTCGTTTCAGTTCGTTATTTAGTATAAAAATGGCTCACTTTTAAATTTGCTTAGGGCAGTGCCAATCGATCGATTGGTAACTGATCATAATCTAGCATCAGGTAGATTACCCAGTTTTACTGATCTGTTACAGGGATATACTCCTTATCTGTCAGGATTATAAATTTGAAAAGAGGCTTTGATTCTGTAAGCTGAGGGTAAGGGAGAACCAGAATCGAAGCAGAATCTTTGATGTGGTGGTGGGGTGGTGGTGAAATTGTTACATACAGATTAATAAGTAAACACAAGCAGAGCCTGTGCTTACCTTATTGGGTAATCAGACACTGATTAGACAGGGGAGAAATTAACATTCTAGGTTCACTTTCCACAATCAACTGTGTCCAATAAAATAACAGGCTGAGCTGGAGATAGGGGTTTAATGGCTTCCTTATTGCTAGTCCATGTGCACTAGTTGTTTAGTTGTCCTTGAGATACAAGCAGACCTCAGATTAAGAAAAAATAAATAACATTCCTAGATCTGTCTTTAAATTCAATTTGTGTGTAAATTGCAATACAGTGCCAGTCAAGTGTTTGCTTAGTACACAGTGTAACTTTCTTGCTTAAAAACATTAAACACTTGCAGATACACTATAGCATCTTAACATATTAACAGTATTTTGATATCTGTCTCAAATTAGTGTATTTCACAAATTTGAATACTAGGAGACTTCAAAAAGTTTGTGGGAAAAGAGGATGAAAAGATAACAGAATGTTTCCAAATATTTGAAGCTTCCTGGTTTTACAGGGGTTTGGGTTGACTAACAGACAACTTGCTAACAACCAGAACCTGAAAGGGAAATATCTTAGTATTTTACACAGTAACAAAGTCAACAAAGTAAGGGCCCTTGAGGGAAGGATCACACAGTAGGGCTCTCAAATTTTTCATATGAAAGAATAGCCAGAAGTCATCAAGACTGGTCATGGATCGGTCTTGACTTCAGCACTGTGTAGCTATGCTCTTTGCAGAGTGCTGGACATTGTTGGAATGCCCTTGTGTTTTGTTACATTTAATCCTCACAGCTGTGAGATGGTGCTGGTTACTGTCATTTTATAGGTGAGAGGCAAGCTGTGCAAATACAGTACTGTGCCCAAATGACACAACTACTGGTGGTATTTCCAGGTTTCAGGGCCCAGTTCCGACTCATGCTGAGCTGTTGGCACCAGGCCCAGCTCAGATCAACTGGGTGCTCACTGTTCTTTGAAGGAGCGAGAATTTGCAAGGCTCAGCTTAGGAGCCTTGGGAGCCCTGGTGGCGGAGTGCTTGTGTTGGACTGCTGAGAGGTCAGCCATTCAAAACCACCAGCCGCTCCTCTGTTTCATAAGTTCTCAGAAATCCACAGCGACAGTTCTACTCTACCCTAAAGGGTCACTGAGTTGGTATCAACTCGATGGCAGTGCAATTATCATTTGAAGTATATGAGAAGGAGCCCTGGTGGATTAGTGGGTTAGGCATTTATTTACGAGAGGTAAATGGTTCAAACCCACCCAACACTAGGGAAAAGTATAGGCTATCTGCTTCTATAAAAGTTTATATCTTTGGAAACCAAAGGGAGCAATTTTGCACCGCCCTGTAGGGTCCATGGAAGTGACTCAGTGTCAGTGGGTCTGGCTTGGGTTGGGGGGAAGGTTCAGAGCTTTTCTGAAAGTAGGGAATGAGAAGTACTGTACTGCCATTAACTTGGACTTAGAATTCAAGCTTCTATAACAGCGGAAGTCCTTAGGGGGAAATCTGAGGATAGGAGGAAATTCTGATAAGCTATAGAAATGCCTCAGGAAATTACTGTTGGTTTTGTTGCTCATGTGAACGTTGGCAATTACTTTGCTAGTGTCTAGCCAGGCCAAGAGGTAGTGCTATTCGAGAAAATGAAGTAAGGCCCTTGTAATATGGATAGTTGAGGCTGCAGATAAATGAGCCTTCTCTATTTACAAGGAAATTATGGTGTAAACTCCAGAACTTAGTATTTTGCTAAAAACTTGTTTCCTATCTGTTGCCATTGCATTACTCAACTTCCAAATACAGGATCTGAAACCGGGCTTGGACCTACCTAAGAGGTAAGAAAGGTTTTCCCTTCACTGAGTTAAGAACACTGAGAGCCTGGCTGGAGGAATTTAAGTCCAAGTCTCTTAAAATGAAATGGGATAAAGGGTAAATTCTTTGACCTCTTTAAAGCTCCACAGTGCTCCGATCATGCTATTCTCTCCCTGTAGTGAAGTTTAGTCAGCCCTAACTTAGGACTGAAAGTGGTTCTAACAGCAGTCTATCCTCTTGAGTTCTGGGGCTGGGGCGGATATATTTTCCCAGTTGTGTCTTTTTTCCACTCTATGGACATACATTATAAGTTGTATAGGAAGAAATTGACTGGAAAAAGGTAACTTGTCCTGGTGAGTCCCAATAGGTCCTTTATTTCAAGATCGTAGGTCCCTTTGAATGCACTACCTCTCCAACTATTTTCCCCAAAACTTTTTGAAGCCCCTTCATATAATAAAGCTCCAAAGTTATTAATAGGCACTAAAAAGAACTCATGGTTTACAATAGAGATCTGTTTGAGTTTTAGACATACTCAGTATTGATAACTGGTCCTAAGAATGGACCACTACTCACTCAGTTGGGCTGACTCACTTGTAAGTTCCTTGAGCCAGGGGCTGGCTGCATCTTCTACAGAGGGTCTACAACTCTACTACAGTGCAGAATGTACATTTCTGGGGAACAATCAAGAGTTCCACAAAATAATGCATTAAAACTAGGTAGAAAACAAAATAAAACTAGGTAGAAAAGGTAGTCTCAAAAACCAGGTGTTTGGGGTTTTTTTTTCCACTGTGCAACCCGCTTCAGTGCCTGAAGCCCACGGGGTAAAGGCAGGCAATGGTTCGGGTTACAGTGTGCTTTGGCATGGGACACTGAGAGGCCCATGGGATCAGACCTGCCATCAATCCAAACCCATGCACCAAAAATCAGAGTTTTAATAAGCAGTAGTAATCTGTATAAGAAAACAGTATAATTCAGTCATTTGCATTATTATCCCCAGGGACCCCTACTCTGTAGCTATTTACCATACAGTTCCACAAATAATTGCCAATCTTGCTGTTTATTTTAACAGTTGTGCATCAGTTTCGTATGCAGACTATTCACGCTCTTTCCATGACCACAGTATATGTTGAAAAATCCAGTATGTCCTGTAAGATATTTGCCTCTAATTGATAACACTTTCATCGAAATTAAATACATTTTTTAAATACAGGAAAATGGCACCCATCTCATCATCTGCACCTGAAGATTCCCCTGGGACTTTCATCTTTGGAAAGGGCTTCTTTAAAGTAACCCAACCAGCCACTTCCTCCGTTACCTTTTTCTTCTCCCTCCAACTTAGTATAATTGTTTAACCGTAAAAAAGCCTGCCTCCATTTCAGACCATTAACATGCTGAGGTGGGAGTGGGTGGGTCACAATCCACCCTCCTTCCCATTATCAGCACGCTTCACTAGTGTTCAGTGCAGCAAAGCAGAATGCACGCACAGTTGGTGGTTCTGGTTCACCTAGGTACTGTGCTGCTGTTGCAGTGTAATGAAACAGTACAATTCTTTGTTTATAGTTGTTCCTAGTGGGTATTCTGGATATGTTCCTACCTAATGTTTGGCTACGTTTTCTATGAAACACTTGGTTAACTATAGTAGAGATCAGTCAACTAGTAGTTGGAACTATTCATGGTACCCTGATAAATGCTATTATATAAAAGGGATAAGCCAAAACAAACAAAACTTCTAAGTAACTAAGATTCAAATATCTTTATTGGATTTAGGAGTCACTTGGGAGAATACCTTTGCTCTTTTCATGGAACAGAAGTGGCAATCTCTAGTGGCTGGCTGTTCCCAAAGGCAGGTGGTGACCAATAATCACAAGGGAGAACGGGAGGGAGAAAGCCAAGACCTGAATGGCAAATTGGGGCCATCTATTGTAGGGGATTTACAATCCCAAGTGTCAGGAGGCACAAGTGCATTACTTAGAACCTGAACAATGTGCTCAAGGTTACTTGCTATTTACATCCCATTAAAAAGATTGAAGTAGGAGTACTGGTGGCATCGTGGTTATGTGTTAGCAGGGTCAGCTGTTTGAACCCAATCACCCTCTGGTGAAAGACCCTGCCTTACAGAGTGCTGTAAGTCAGCATCGCCTCAATACCAGTGAAAGAGATT